AATCGCCAAATCCTGAGTGCGGAGAATCATCATCCACCACCCTTTCTAGTTCGGGCGCCACTGTGAAGACATTAGGTATTTTATAAGAAGGAGAGATGAAAAATTAGCAATGCCTTCCCCGGGAATCGAACCACGGACTTCTGGATACGCGCCCAGCGTGTAGACCATCACACCACGAAGGCACGCTAAGAAAGCGGAAGAAATACTTTAACGTGAAGCTCGTCCTTTTTGAATTGTACAGTTATTACCATATAGCTGTTAGTTACTTGCATTCGAAATCTTGTACCAATTCGACATACATCGAAAAACTGGAATTCTGTTAAAAAGTTACACATTACTCGTCTTTTTTACCAATAATCGTTTGTGTGATCCTATGCAATAACTGCCAGATTTTGTGGCTGAACTGCAGTCAACTATATAAAATTGTTACGTATTCTTAAAGAGCTGATTAGAACAAAATTTAGTATGTTTCTCGACATGAATACGAACAAACAGGCTCTTACAATGTCTTAAATACTTATCAAAAACGAACTGCGCTGGCTTTCTTTCTTGTAAGTAAATAACCAGCAATTTTAAGCATGATTCGTGGCCCGTAGAAAGTATACTACTTCGGATTCGGATTTGAATGCGTCATATTCTCGTTCTCATAAATTCTACTAAGTAGTTTTTTTTATCTTTTCGTATATATTTGAAGATCAAATGGGAAAATGACGTTGAATTTAAGGAATCTCCTGTTTACAAATATTCCCATGCCGAGTAACCTTTATCTCTGTTGTTTTCCTAGTGAAGATCCCTATTGGATGATATAATAAAAGACTGTTTAGGAAGAGGAATGATTGCTTTATAAAATCATGTTACCCTCCCGAACTGTTAAATACGTTAAATTGTTAAAATGTTTCGATATGTAAGATGGGTGTGAAGTAAGACGTGAAGGAGAAATTCCTCATATATTAGATCAGGAGGAGAGATAAATTTGCTGGTCTACCAAAAGCTTTGAATATAAGTGGAGCAATAACATTGCAATGAAGCATTTTAAAAGCAGAGAAACCGTTCACAATTTTTTATTAACATATTTCATTGAAAATCATTCCCTTTGCGTCCAGATTATAACGCGTTGAGATTAAAAGTTTGAGAAGAAATATCCAGAAAAAAGTAATTTAGCCAACAATTCTCTTTGAAAACATCAGAAAGCTGTATATACATTAGAGAACAATGTTTACCTTTTAATCCAGTTAATCCATTTCAACTATTTTTCATTTTTATTATGCTACCAGCAACGGCGCTGTTGGCAGAGATGGGTAGGCAACGATTCCCAGTATAGATAACGTGCAACGTGAGCGAGATTATTTTATTATCGTGCACGATGGCTGAAATAATTGGTTTTCATTTCTCTGTGTGTCTAAGCATAAGATAAGAGGCGCGGAAATGTTATTGGTTGTCTCCATCTCACCACTCTGTTATTGGTGTAATCTTATTTGGGTTCTCCCTGATTGAATTGCTTGGTGTTGAATAATGAGTGCTTGCTTTAGATGTAGAAAGAAATGCTGGAAGACAGAAATAAAACGTCCTTACGTGATCAAATTGTGGAAAATTTTGCCTAACTTTATAATTTTTTAAAGAATACCTTAATTCAAAAATTGGTGGTATATATATATATATATATATATATATATATATATATATATTTTACGTTTTCCAAGATGTGAACAATGTTAAGCACCCAGTAAATCTGAATTTTTTCATTTCTATAATCCATTTCGGTGGTTATGTGGTTATGTAAATTTGCCATTTTATATGCTGGCTTATGTTATCTTTATGTATGTACCTCTTTTTCGTAAATTAGCAAGCAACAATGACAAAAATGTAATACGAATTCATACAGATAAAAAATGTCCTTTTTTAGAATTTTCGGATCTCTTCGTTATACAGCAATAAACGCCAAAGAGTGTTCTCTAAAACTATATGTGCACCAACTTGATACTCCAACGAGAAAACGCATTTTCGTCGTCCACTCAACCAATGCTAATCAAAGATTTACTTTTCCAGTTTTGTTGATTTTACCGCCATGTACTTAAGCTTTTTGAAGTCAGTGTAACAGAAGCGCGTTGATTTAGAAAAACATATATGGCAAAAGTCTGAAATAGAACACTTTTTCAATTTGTTTGATAAAGCTTCAATACTGCTGATTGAACACAAGATCTTTGATAAATTCTTTAGATTAGTCTGATGTGTTTGTAATATTCAAATAAATCTGCTTTAAAACTAGATTAAGTATTTTTGAAGATGAAATTACCACATAACTACTATATGTAGAATAGATTCGTCAGTCTCATCGTAGAACTTTGGAGGTTATATTATATTAATATAGCGCTGTTATTATTTAAACTGATTGCTTAAACTCATTTTCTAGGAAAAGAAATAAAATGAAGGTTTAATGAAGCTAACCATATTAATATGAAATACTGGATATCTCATTGTTAAATCGAATTTTCAGTAGCTTATTATAGAATGCATATTCCAGTTCAATTTTTTTTCTGCTCATTAATTGAGATGAATACTATGAAGCTGATCTCTAATACCTGAGAGTGGGACGAAAAATCTTCTGATTTTAAAATCACTTAATTAAACAACTCATATCATGTGAATATATTTATTTAGTCACAAAAATACATATTGTAGTCTCTTATCGCAAAATTTATGCAAACCTGTTCCAGATTTCGAATTCGCAGAATTTGCATTACATTCGTAATAATATAATCTAGATCAAGCTATAGTTTTGTTGTGTATATCGTAATAAATTAAAAAATACTGTGTTCAGGAAACCTTCACGTAGTCTTCTATACACAGTTGATTTTTTAAGCATTTTCTTGAAGAGTTTTCTTCATCTTTTTTCATATCAATAATTTTTAGAATACTCCACTTAGTCTTCTAAACACAGTCGATTTTTGTCAGGCATTTTTCCGAGTTTTCTTCATCTTACAGTTTGCCGAGTATATTTTGGCATCATATATACTACAGTGATTTCAAAGAGGTCATTTTCAGTGGTAATCGTGTTAGTTATGTTAAAATATTTTCTCCAAATTGCGTTATAAGTAATTTACTGGAAATGAATACATGTGACATTAGTAATTTTCAAATGCAATAAGTATTCCATCGTTAACTTAAGAAGTGGTCTTTGATAAGCCTTTTATTACCTTAAGGAGTAAGTGTTTATTACAATTTGTTTCGTAACCTTTTCCAAAGGTCTGCTGTTTTAGTTTCCTTAAGAACTTATGATTTAAATCTTTGATAAATTTAAAAAAAATCAGTCGACAAAGCCGAGTCGAATTTATACCCAAGCTAAAAAACCGCCGAGAAAAGGGTTTATTTTCTCCTATTTATAGGGTTGAACACCCTGATTTTTTGTGAAGTTTTCAGTTTATGCGTGCTGGTCTTGATTTTTTTTAGCATAGAAGCCGCTTAGCTTAGCCAAAAACCCAAACTACGAATTTTAATGTAGTTGCCGATCAAAATGGTAACGAAGGCTTGATTGCTTAATCTTGAGATTCTTGTGAAATATATTATTTCTAACGTATCTGTCATTTACATTAACTTTACTTAAGCTTGAATGCCATTTTATTGAGATTGGGTTTCATCATCAAAGGCAGAAAATAGCTGTCGTCGGAAACTAATTTAAGTTTATTTTTCATAGAGAGTGGATTTCCTCCTCTCCCCATGTTGAGAATAGAAGGTGGGGAAAGAAAAGCCGTGTTTATTTTAATTTTAAAAGTAATTTTTAGTTATGTATTTACATAATGTTCGTGTGAATACAAAAATGATTGTTTTTTATTACTTCTTCTTTCATTTGTCTACCTTTTACAACAGTTTCGGGCTAAGTAAGCATCATTAAGTCAACTAACTTCAAAGAACAAAACCACATATATGAAATTTAACAGCATAAAATGTAGTATAGTTTATTATTGATATCACGTATTACCACTCAATAAGAAACAATTTAACTGAGTCTTTATCTTTTGTTCACCTCCTTTCAATTTTACTAAAAGCATTCTGAACAATAAACCGGAACTGTTTACACGTTGCAAAATGTAAATGTATTTAAAAAAACAAAGTGAATTTATTTACGTTTAACTTCGGTCTCTTTAAGTACAAAATCATACATATATACACACACCTGTACTCCAAATAATAAAAATCTAGGTCTTGCACATATACTAGTATGCATGAAACTTCATTAAGTAAATCGAGCAATGAGCGCTAAGAAGTAAGTTTTTCTGTCTACATATATGGTAAATTTCATATTCTTTTCTCTTTTTCTTCCTCTTTCTAGAAGAAATGTGTACATGCATGCCGTTACTTTGACATATGATGTTTTCTTTAATTATGCAATCTCTGTATTATATTTGAAGCTAAGTCTTATTAAATCGTCTCTTGCCTTGTAATAAATATTCAGCGGAGTTCTTTTTTACGGAGAGAAATCTTTGTACATGTAAATCAACAGCTGTGAGTTCTTAATTTTATTTTCCTCTTCCTCTCCCGTCGAAACTGTAGTTTAATCTTCTCCACCCCCTTTTATTTTCCCGTAAATTGCGAAACAGAAATCGAAGGACTCGAGAACATTTGCCTCTTTTGTTGACAGATTATAATTTTTTAGTAGTGTTGGATGTAATGGTACAGAGATTGCTTCGATGCAATTAATTTTCACCTCTAAGAAAAATTTAAATTTAATTTAAAATTTAATTTTCGCAGCTATCTCCTTCAATGTTTTCCTTTTTGTAATAGAAAATTATTTTTAAGTGTTTGTTGTTTATTTAATTTTAAATGTTTTTTTAATTATGTCGTGTTTCAAAATTATCTGCAATGAAAACATGTTATTTCACTCAAATTGAAAATGTTTCTTAAACGACTTTAAGAAATTTCTTGATAGAACTTTTCTCAAAAGAAAATTTTTTTCAATGCGATTTTCAAATTTTTATGCTGATAATTATTTTTTAATGTTTCAGATATTTCTGGAATTTGTTGAAGAATCGTGTTCTGAGTAAGTTTGGATTTTGAGTAATATAATGTTATACGTTCCAAATCGATAGCTATTTCTTTAGTATGTTTTTAAAACTGAAATTAACCTGATTGCTTAATGACATTTTTGCCCAGATTTAATATATAAATATTTTTTAATTTTACCGTTAGAATTAAATTACTTATTTTTTATTCATTTTTCGAAATATGTCATTTTTTATATAAATAAATAAATAATTTTAGGATAAAATTAACCTGATGATCAGATGAAGAAAGAGGAAAAAAGGAAAAATATTTGAAAACTAGTAAAGGAAAGTTAAGAAGAGTAATTTAAAGGGCAAAAGTTTTTAGAGATTAAAAAGAAAATCTTTCATTATTTAAGAAGTTTTTGTGAATTTTTTCCCTGAATGTTTCAAACTGTATAACTTTTAAAAAATAAATTTATTTATTTTTAATAGCTGATTTTAAAATAAAAATACTACCTGACATATAAAAAAGAAAGGAAAATTTAAGTCTTAAAACAAAAATTTTAAAAAAGAGAAATATATTTTTTGCAGAAAACTAAAGAAATTTTTTGGTGACATTTAAAATACTTTTATACATTTTATTTGAATGTTTTAACCGAAATAATTTTTCTTTTTGTAATTAATAACTTTCTTTCGGTATTCTTTATGTAAAATAAACTGTTTAAGTAAATAAAGAGGAAAAAGCGTTTGAGCGATTGTTCAAAATTTGAATAAATTTTGTGAATTTTATAAATTTTTTGAATTTTTTTCATGAGTATTTTGGGATGTTTGTTTTGCAAATATATGCCCATAACAAATTCATTAAAAATCAATAAAATAGATTATAATTTAAAAGAAAATTCATTTAAATGTTTCGATAGTAAAATTAATGATTACTATGAACACAGGCATGTAATAAGAAACGAAATTTGCTTTAGATAGATCACAAAATATTATATTCCTAGAAAAAAACTAGAAATAATCATTGTAGCTAATAACTATACAAATCAATAAAATTGTTAACAGAGTGATAAACATTAAATATAATTCAGAAAATTATATCAGCAATTTCACTTTCTTGATGTAAACAGATGTGAAAGAAATAGGTATAAAAATTTAATATATACACGCGAAAATGAATGTAAATATGTAAGAAAAGAATATAAAATTAATAATAGCTTTGTAAGGAAAGAGAAAAAACTCTGATGTCTCTTTTCAAAGAAAATGTCTTTAGGAATATTGGATTTCTCTAGACGAAGAACTTCATCTCAGTATAGAGATAATATTGTGGTAGTTCTGCTATTCACGTCGCATAGGGGTGTGTTTGTAAGCAAGATAATTGGTTTTATTATACGAGTAGTTCAACGGTGTAATCTATCAGTATCGGTTTAAAGCTTTTCGTGTTTTAATGCATCAAGCAAAACGAGAAAATATTGCAGAAATGTTCTCTGTGAGGTTACTTGACAGTAATTGCTTTCGATCTTTTGATGTTTTTTCGAACAACTTCAGAAAAGACTAACCTTGTTGCACATGTATTTAAATAACATTTTACACTTTTTACATTATACGCAAACTCTGTGTAATAGTAAGTTTCAATTTTCTTGTTTACTGTTTAATTTACATATCTCTAAAAATATTAAGTTTCAAACGATTTAAAATGAATATAGAATTTTTAATTTTTTAATGTGGACTGCATCCACACCGAGTGAATACGAGCTAATTTCTCAACAAAGGCATCCCTTACGTTAGGCAGATATTGGTTTAATTGATTATGGAAAAGCAGACTAAGTTTACATGCCTAAGGGTAAGTATGCTATCGTGAAGGACTTTTAAGGGAAACTGGCTCCTACGTAACGTATACACTTTAAATATGGGGAAAACCGCAAAAACGTCTATGCAACCAGCCCGTTCGCCTGGAATCGAAACCAGGTCGAAACTACCAGTGTTCAGCGATTTTGCCGCTCGGCCGTTCATGAAGTTTTTGGTAGATAGCTCCCGCATGTTTTGGTGCATTCGAATAAAAAACAAGCATCCTCTTTTTGAATCTGAATATTATTTTCAATAATTTTAATTAATAATTGCATCCGAAAATTGTTTTTAATAATTTTAATTAATAACTGTTTCAAATTTATCAGTATTGAATATTGTTTTCAATAATTTTAATTATAACTATTTCAAAATTATAAAATACTGTGTTTTTTTTTTTTTTTTTTTTTTTTTGGCTTTAGTAATAAGCAATTGTAAAGGTTGCAAATGAAGATATATAATAACACAGCATATCTGACTGGAAAAGAAATACACCGGTGTAAAATGTAAAATTAGGCAAAACAACAGTTTTATTGTGCCTTAGATTTTGAACAAAACTCTGTCGATTTCCGGGGGGGGGGGTGATCAGACACAGGACCCTCTTATTCAGGAGAAAAAAGAAATTCTGCAAAATGGGAGGTGCAATGACCATATTTATATCAATGGTCGAGGCAAAGGGACCCAACGCCATCTGTAGAAGAAAATAGTAATGAAACGTGAAGAATTAAGGTATTAAAATATAGCATCTCGACAGATGGCGCTTCGAGAAAAACATCATTGTAGTTTTGTGTGAAGAGAAAGTACGCAGAAAACATAGCAATTCTGCAACATTATAGTATAAAATATCATAATGGAAAATAAAGCGAAACAAAAACTTCGCAATACTAAAACAAAATATCATGGTAATAAGGAAACCACCTGCAAATCATAGCAGACATGTGCGTTTTTTGACTATAAAAATTTTAAGTGAATTTCTATGTAATGATTTATGAGCACATGAAGAAATAATTAAAATACCACATTAGTATTTGCAATAATGTTTTTCGTCTGTATTTCATAATTTTTATCAACTAATAAATTTTTGCTGAAAAAGCGAGAAATGAAACTTACCTATTATTATTATTTACGTATTCCGCCCTAAGGCATAAAATGAAAGGCAGAGATGCCTTCGTGAAGAACTTTTTAGGGGAAATGGCTCATATTAACACGTTACACATGAGGAAAACCACGAAAACGCCCATGCAGCCAGCCGGTTTTCGAACTTTGGACCGAACTATCAGTGTTCAGGTATTTTATCACTCGACCGCTAGTGGGCCAAGAAGGAAACTTAAACATTCACAATCTGGAAATTAGTAAAAATTAATGCTACATGTAGCAATTAGCAGAATTTGAAATTTATTTTGCTAACTATTAAAAATCATTAATAATTTCCTTTATAAAAACATATTAGTGGATGTTCGTGAAAAATATAGTATAGAAAAGATTAGAAAGAGGAAGGTATACAAGTTTAAATATTCTTTATTCTAGTTTTTGGTGCACAGCTGTCTTTAACTTGCTGACAGGTTTTATTTTATTCAAAGAGCTCTGTCTAATCGTGATATAATTTAATATATCACGATAAGGATATATCACGATAAGGATATATATCGTGATAAGGATATAATTTAGTGATTCTGTTAGAACACTCTACACCCATCTTTTTTGATGCTGAGTTGAAGAACGGTGTAAGACTTTAATTTTGTGTCTTTTCACGTTAAGTGCGGTTCATTATTCTAACAAATGAATAATATGTATAGAATAGTTCTTGCTGTCATTTACCAAATGATGAATTCTTTCTTTTTTTCCCTGATTGAAATTACCTTGCATGATATTCTGAAGAAATACCAGCTATTTTACAGGATCTTAATATGAAAATGCATGATGCTGATTACATCGTATACCTCAATAACGATGAGTAACATCACACTAAAACTTCAGATGTATAGATTTTGTTGTATAAGTATACTGAAATATCCGTGAGCTTGATGGTGCTGAATTGTCCAGTTTCCATTTAATTCTTCATTATTTGCTACTTCTTACAGCCTGCTACTTGTTTTATTAATGCTTCACAGATAGTAAACAGTATTTGGATCTATGAAATTAGCGTAGCTGTGAATACTTCGTCAAGCCTTACTTCATTTGTACAGTAAACTAATTTTAAATTTATGTGCACAGTCGATCAATGTGATAAACACTAGAGATTTATATATTTGGGATTCTGAATAGTTAATGTAATAAGTGAAATTAACATGTATGATTTTGAATTTATGAACATTTCGTTAGTTTCTTTTTTTAACGATATAGAAAACTAATTTATATTCATGAACACATTCGATCAACCTAATAAAAATTAACTTTCATACAATATTTTAGATTTTAAATAATTCATCAAGTGGTTCAATAGAAAATGTTTTTCATTATTTACGCAAATAGTTGGTTTTCGGACTTTTGACCTTTTAATTCTTTGCACTGGTTGATGATCATGCGCCATTATTTTTAAAGATAGAAAACTGCCTACTAAAAAGAAATTTTTAAGCTAAATTAAATAAATGCTGAAACATTCTATTTAAAAAGTTTTCGTATTAGAATCCATTTAAAGCTTTCTTATGGCTTCCTTGTAGTGTCTTTAGAAGTTGAAGCTGCTGCACATGACTTCTGCCATTTTCTTAGCGAAATATAAAATTTATATTCAATTTCGTTTAAAAAATTTACTATTAAATCCCCTCGCTTAAAATAAATATTTTACTTAGCTAAAACAATAACTTCCTGCTTAAATGTTCAGTGGTTTGAACAGTCCTGTTTGATGTTTTTCGCAAAACATACTGTGTTTAGTTTAAACGTGTTTTTAATCTGAAAAATGCCGATCGCAACCAAAGAACAAATTTCATGTCGCCATGTTGACATGATGGAAGGGAAACCAAATGCCAAAACCTTGGTTCCGGTTTCGAATCTCGGAGGTGTTTGTAAATGTATAGTGTTTCTAGGACATATAGTGGTACTTAAAATATTACCGACCTAAAAATCTGTTCGAGAAGGTGGTAGTAGAAAAAGAGGACTAAACGACCCTCCTATTCATGCTGGTTTCCATCAAAACTGGGAGCTGGAAGAAGTCAAACTGCCATTTCTGAGGTGCCGGAGGGTTTTTAGCCATCGACAGGCACAACTCTCTCCC